TGGCCACGATGATCTTGAACGTCATCATGGCGCCCTTGTTGAATTTGGCGACCGCCTTGCTGTGTTGATTGATGATCGCCGCCGTGACGAAGCCTGATTGGGGCCTCTGCCAGTACCGAGCGCCGAAAGCGACGTAGTCGCTGCTGGCCACGACTCCCAGCCAGTCGAGCTGTATGTTATCCATGGCTTCGTAGGTCATCCTGGCGATGGCCAAGGCTCGCTTGCCTGCAGGCGCCAGCTTGAAGAAGGCGATCACCGGGAGGAGGGAGAGGCCGACGACGGCACCCCCGTAGCCCGCGGATAGGCTGAGCCACGTGGGTTGCTTGAACCGACTCTCATGGTCCAAGAAGTAGAGTAACCCGGCCACGAGCACGGCGACGTCCAGCATCGCCGAGGCCAACGGCGATTTCTTGAGGATTTTCGCCGTCATGTAGGGCAAGGCCCTGAAGATGATGAGCGTCAACGCCGTGATGGCGACGAGCTGCAGCATCCTGAGTGAAATTCACAAAATTATTATATAGATACAGATGAAAAAACTGTTCGAATCAAAATCCTAACTGTTCATAAGTTATACGTATAAGTTATACGTATTTTTCCCTTTTTATCCGAAAATCTCTATTATGTTCCTTGTGACCAAGAATAAGAATATTGTAATCTCATTATAATAAATATATAAACGATATTTATTCCATACATAAAATTTTCGGTAGCGAGTGCTTTAAGAAAAACATGCCTACGTGCATAAAGAAGTATATTTCCTCGTGTAAATTTCAAAATATACACTGTCATCAAATCACTTTTTCCATATAACCGAACGAAAAATAAGTAAATTCAAAGTGTTGTAGCTCAGTCAAAAAAGGTCGAATAAAGGTTCAGAAATAACCATTAGAAAAGCCTTTATAAAGCACTTAAAAGCTACATAAATGGTTATTGGGTTTATTTTTTAATTCATTCATACATTTTTATCAACAATTAACGAATCAAAAAAAACTGGTTTTTATTTTCTTCAGTAATTTTTTGTGTTGCGCTCAAATACTACTGGTAACTCGATATTGACTCGAACCTAATCATAGTGTATATGGATTTAAAGAGGACAAAATTTCCAAGAAATCAAAAAAAAAATCGTGTTGATAAGATAAATATAGCGCAAGATAGAAGCATTTGAAAATCGACAGAATTTGGATGAAATTTTTTGATGCGATAATTTTGTTGAATAGTGTAGCTTTGTATGTTTCGTCATATTTCATTCATATAATGTAACACAGCTTTGCAGATGATATAAAAAAAATTTTGATTACAAAACAATTTTTTTTGTGTGTAGAATGAAAATAAATTTATATGAATCAGGTTCTAAAAATCATCATGATTTAGACTCATAAAAATTTTCGAATTCATCCAATTTTTTTCAAACATCAGAATGCAAAAAACAACCGTATCATCGTGAGAAATACCCATGGGATAAATTTAATAAAACCATTTTGACGGCCTTGTTAAAACCCTCAAATCCTCCTCAGATATGTTTTACAAGTCCTCCTACTCAATTAGCAGTAGAAACAGTGAAGAAAATAAAAACCAATTTTTTCGATTCGTTAATTGCTAATAAAAATGTATGTATAAATTAACAAATAAACCCAATAACCATTTATGTAGCCTTTGAGTGCACTATAAAGGCTTTTCCAATGGTTATTTCTAAACCTTGATTCGACCTTTTTTGACTGAGCTACGACATTTTAAGTTATTATATGGAAAAAGTGATTTGACGACAGTAAAGTTTGACGGTTGGGCTTCCGGCCCGCCGTGACTTACCATTGCCTAGTCGCGGCGACGAATTTGTCGCTTCGCACCTGTATGGTGACCGGAGTGTCCACTAGCGGTTCCACGAACGTAGCGTAGACAGCTGAAAATTGGCATAAAAATTTCATCGATACATTTCGTTAGGATTCGGACGAACGAGCTGTGCACACGTCGCGTATTGCGTCTTACCTAAGCAGTATAAAACGAAGAACACGAGCACGAAGAACGAGGACACAGCCGCGTAGAAGTAGTCGGTGATCGGCCTGATTGGAAGGTTTTTCTCGTAGAGACCATCCGCGAAGGGTGGCACGAAGCCACTGGGTACGGGTTCGGCCACGGCCGGTCCATTATTGGTCCCTGCAAAATAATAAAATTGACGTAACTGCTTAATTATAAACGTCTCGACTACGTCTTAATTAATAAACAAGCCGAAAAACAGACCCGAGAGTTGTATTCGTGGTTCGTGTGTGCAAATGCACAGAGATGTCACTTCGGAGTAGCGCACTTATTAAAACAAATATATTTACTCACCGGCCTTCTCGGTTTTATCCACGTTCGACGTCGGCACCACCATTTTTTTCTCTATTCGATCGTGTGTTTCCTCACACACGCACGACTGATCTATGAGCACGCAATACGCCGAAACTATGGGTACTTTTTTTCTACGATGATGAGATCGCCTATTTTTTCTCTGTCCCCCTCTTCTCTCTCCCCCGCCACAGCTGATGTAACGCCGTTAATAGTGACTTTGTAGATGGGATCGATATGTTATGATGTGTATGTATTCTATTATCTCGGCTATCTATAATATTTACCAACGTTACGTAGTTCTTAGCTATTTTTTACCTAATGACGAAGAGGAGCCAGCTGCGAGAGTCTTTGGTGGAGTGCGTTGAACCTCGGTCGAGAACGACGAGAATAGAATCGAAAAATGACTATCGATAGAATTTTGCGATGTATTTTAACCATGCATTATTGAAGGCACTATTCGTACGTGAAAAAAAGTTTTCAGGATCCTCGATGGTACAGTTTTCGAGATACAATCGATGAAAGTTCGGTACATTGACGCAAGATCGCTATGCCAACGTGTCAAAAAGTCGTTACACTGCGCGCGATCATGAAAATTACGCATCGACGGAATCTTTTTAAAAACTGGGAAATGATCGTGTTCAGAATGTACTGAAAAGTGCCCTGAAAAATGGAAACACGTGTCGCGGTGCAGGTTTTTCAGTAAAATTCATACAAAGTCGTCATTTCGATTGTATTTCAAGTCGTCAAAACACAAATTCATGCGTGCGTACGTGTGTGTGTGTGTGTACGCGAGTGAAAGCGCGTGGGTGTACAGTGTACAGTGTAAACTGTACACAAAAAAAATTTCGATACGGCTGCGCGGGAGCAGCCACGCCACGCGTACGCACAGCCAGTGCTGGGTTTCAAATTGTGTTTTTTTAAATGTACCATCTCCTACAGCCCGCGTAGTCGTGGATAAACTTTCGGTTCTGACTATGTTGAGCAAGAACTCTCCTCAGTTGCCCTACTTTTTATTGCAGCCTCTTCAGTTGTGTATTACGTCGATTGAAAATTTTTAAAAATTATCAAGATGTCATTACATACTTACGATTTAATGTTCTTTCGGAATCCGGTGTCAAAATTGTCGAAAAAAAATTATAATCTAATGGATAAGGAATAGAAAAGCATATTTTCAGGAGGAATCCCTTTGTCAGCGATTTGGCAGCGGTTTTCCTAACGGGGCAAATCTACTTCAACGCACATAAACTTTTCGATGAATATGCGTTTGTTAACAATTTTGTATAAAGCTTGATATGAATTATTGATTTTAATTATTACCAGAATTCAAAATGTTTTATACATTAACACGGCATCAAGTGATCTATATGATTGATACATTATGATTGAGTTTTCTCTTCGCTTTCAACAGCTGTGACTAGCTAGAAATTATTCCGGCGAAACCGTTGCTCGAGCTGATTTTTGGGATCATTCAGGCTCTCGTAAAAATTCAATATGACGCTTTCCAACTGTCACAAAATGGCAACTTTACTGCTTTGGCTACTGTCATAACAAACAAGGTGTGCGTCGATTAAATGAATGAGAGGCCTTGCTTGTTATGCCACCGCAAGCAAAGACAGTAAAGTGGCCATTTTGTGACTATCGGAAAATGTCCTAACAAATTTTTCTATCAAATTGAAGTATAGCTAATCAGTCAAGCAAGGTTTAAGCATGATTTTTGTGGAGAAATAATTCAAACTTAATTGGAGCCATCGTTCAAGCCATGAAAATGTCGAGTTGTGATAATTTCAATCTTTAGGCAGCTCACATTATGCTTAGATATTTCATCGGAGCTTTTTTAAATGAGATTACACCTGTTTGACGCTCAGATAGAACGCATCTTCTTTAGATAGGTTCGTCTTGAAAACATTTCGAGCGTCATCTGGCACTGAATCATTAAAACTACTATTTGATAAAATATAGGAGATTTCTGCTTGGGCCCATCTGCGACTCGACCTTCAAATTACATAATTTTATGCTTAATTGGCTTGAATTAAGAGCTTAATTTTATGTAATGAACTTTCTTATTGTTCAGCTCGAATATATATTTTTAAAGTATATTTTATAACATTAATTTTCAAAAAAATATATGCGTTTATTGAGCTGAATCTATTGAAGATTCACTTTTTAAAGTGATGTTTACTTTTGCTGGAGAATGTAAGGATTAATATTCCATGATACATATATCGTAAAGAGAATTGAAGTAAACAAAGGTGTCACATATTATCATGAGCTTTGTGTTTCCATCAACAGGTGGAGCATTGTAAAGTCGCAAGTGGCTAAAATTTTTTGGTCGGGTATATATACTTTTGGGTGGTAACGCCACACGTTTTACATGCATTGTGCGTTTCAGTCCTTTTGTTGTGAGGTTTGTTGATTTTTGTTTTGAAATCTCACGTTAGAAATGAACGCGAACACACATTTTTATATCGAACAAATCGCCACACAACGATGTTACATTAAGATTTCATTCACATACCGCTTACATTTTCATCAGTAATAAATCGTATTTTTGAAACTACCCCCGTGCGCGCGGCAAAGCGCCTCGGCGCTCGTGATCTAGGGCAGCGACCAGCCGCAAAAGTGTAAACAAACACGAGCTGCGGCTGGCCTACAGGCCGAGACTCGCCGCGCGCTCTCGTCTTCGCGCGCAGCGGCGCGAACAAAAGCCGATCGCGACGAACGAATATCGGCTCGCTCGAGTTGTTTGATGAGTCGCGAAATAATAATAGTTTGTCCGCCGACACTCAAAGGTCGCACCTCGTAGGACTCGCGTATCCTTTGCATGTGTAAGGGACTCTTCGGTTTTTTTTTACTGGATAATAGTGCGCTTCATCGATATCTTCTCGACAATGGTAGCCGTTGAATTTCAAACTATTTGGTCTTGGGCTGGACTCGATATCGACCCGAAGAAGCCGAGTTTTCGGGATGCCCAGGAACTCATCAAAGCGAGGCAAATAATCAAGTGCGGAAAACTCAATGAGGACAACGAGGTTATACGTTTTTCGGCCCTTTGTTCCAAAACACCCGATTCAAAGGACGGATGTTACACCGTAAATGGCACGGTGAAAAATTCAGCTATATTGGAATGCAGCTGTGACTGTGAAATTGGACAGGAGAAGTGTCAACACGTCCTTGCCACTTTGCTACATTGTTACCGGTAATTTCTTTTTATTATTGATTACTTTTTATTCTATGCGTTGTTTTGTTTGCTCTTTACAAATTATTATTTGTGTGTTTACAGTAAGAGCTTTGATTTGGAAAATTGGGCTACCCCCCCTGACGAGCTGACAACCACAAAAAAAAGACCACTTCAAGATAAAGAGATTACATTTGAAAGTGAAAAAAATATCAACAAGATAAATCCTTTCTTTCTACCAAGAAGTAAAAAGCCTAAAACTAGTAAACAAAGCAATGGATTCAAAAAAGACGCTAACTTGGAGAGAGCTGTTGCAGCAATTTTTGAAAATCAAGATAGCGAATTGATGAATTTTATAAGGGATATGAAAACCGATAAACTGCAAGCATGCTGTGAAAAACTACTTAAAAGCTTTGAGGGAGATTACAAGGATATTTGTGAAAAAACAGCAAAATCTCATGATTTTTGGTTGCAACAAAGGCAGTATAGAATTACAGGCTCTATGTGTTATAGTGTATACACGTACAGTTCCTGCAAAAGACCTAATTGGCCAAATAAGTGCTCAACTTTATTTACCCCAAATGATTATAAAAATAAATATATGGAGTATGGTAATAAAACTGAACCAGAAGCACGTCAAGCTTTCATAAAAAATACTAATTTCATCGTCAAAGAAGTTGGATTAGTTATTTCCAAATCAAATCCATGGATGGGATACTCCCCTGACGGTATCATTTTTCAAAATGGTAAACCCACAGCTTTATTAGAAATAAAGTGTCCTTACATTGGAAAGACTTCAAACATTCAAGCTACAATCGAAGCTCAGTGTACAAAGTATTTAGTTAGAGTTGACGAAAACATTGAGTTGAAAAAGAAGCATTCTTATTACGGACAAGTTCAGCTTGGAATGGCTGTACTGAATTTAAACGTAGCTTATTTTGTTGTATATTCAGCGCGTGACAAAAAGTACCTATCAATAAAGGTGCCTAGAGACGAAGATTTCTTGATGGAAATGTTGCCTGCCTTGAAGGAATCTTACTTTAATCACATGTTACATAATATATGTTTAATGAAAAAGTAATGATTTAATGCATAGCAATTAATATGAGTACCATTTAAGTGTATTATGTTTAACTGAAAAATTTGATTTAAAACTTGAGACTCTATTTCTATAAGAAATAGTTACCTTGTTAAAGCATTTTAAATGTTTATTTGCAAAGACTAACACCTGAGTGTATTTAATTTAACAATATAAGATTAAAAAACTAGTTCATTGTGAAATTAAAAACTTATTTTATAAGATGTTTATTAGAGATGTAATTAAACACGATTGTATTGAAAAATTTTTATCTTGTTTCATTTTGACAGAATGTCAAATATAATAAAGCTGTAACTATCAATAAAAGTATTTTCAGTATTCTTTAGATGTTATCCTTTAAGCCTCGAATGAATAGCCTTAACTTTTACCATGTTACGTTCGTCTCATGATACAAAGCATTCGTCGCGTCGTCATATTTCGAGCCCACACGCGACACGCAAGTAAAAATGAAAAAAGGGTATAACGAATGGGGTTTATTCGCTTAGCAACGCGAATTCGGCAAAGAAATCGATGCCCGAAAGAGAGTCGAGGAACGATAAAAGTTTTCGGTCAGTGGAGCGCGCCGCACAGTAGTCCGCCCCCGCACGCGAGCATGAATTCGTCGCGACGAACGAACATCTCCCTCGAATTTTCCAACGCCCCCGAGGAGGTGCTCGTGCGACTGCTGAGATTCAGCGGAGTGAGAAAGATCTGCGACTTCTTGACCAGCCAGTGAGTTTCGAATCTATATCTTTGAATTTTTTTATATCGATAAAAAATATACGATCGATAATAATTTTCGTCGTAAAAGCCCAACGCTCGATCTGCATTATCCGAAGGAAAATCTGTCGACCCCGCTGACGAGCGCCATCGAGCGATCCGATCCGCTGATACTCGCCATGCTGATCGACAAGATACCGGTCGATCTGGACGACACCTTGACGCAGCCCTGCGGCAAAACTGCCCTCATGCACGCGGCCTACTGCACGGACAATCCGGAGGTGTTGCAGGTTTTGATAAGGAAAGGCGCGGATCCGAGCAAGACGGATATGTGAGCGATTGCGATATTCGTTAGCATAATCTTAGTTAGTAATCGTGTATCTTGATGCATGCGATATGTTTTGATCGTAGGCACGGATGGAACTGCTTGTTTTACGCGATTATAGGAAGAAGATCGAAAAACGTGATGGGACTGCTGCGAGATAAGACGATCTCGATCGAGTCGAGGGACGACGAAGGCCGAACTCCGCTCATGATATCCGGTATGCATCACCGCTCAGCAAAACAATCGGCAATTTTTTTAATGGTCATCTCCATATATGATAATTGCCCACAGTTTATCTGTCGAGCTACGAAATCTTCGAGCAGCTGATCGAGATGGGCGCGGACGTGGACGCGATCGATCGTCACGGCCTGAGCGTCCTGCACCTGGCCATCCTGAAAAGAAGCCGAGACTGCGTGATCGCGTTGGCGAGGCTGTGTCGTCCAAAAACGACAAAGACCCTCGAACTGGCTCGAGAGCTGCTTCGGGACCTGCTACCGGTCGAGGCTAATTTTCGGATCGAATGACGAATGAGGGAATAATTTTCAATTTAAAAAAAAAAAAACAAGGATTTTTTTATTTCAATGCTTTGAGTATTTGGCTATCCACTCGTCGAAGCGATTGACCATCCTCTCCGACATGGCCTCCTTCCACTGGCCGACGCCGCCGTTCCTGATGAACTCGCCCTCGGACTTTTGCTCGCCGAACACCTTCATGTTGTTGATGTACTCGATGGTGGTCTTCTTGTTCACCGACGTGTTGTTCTTCATTTTCGCGAAGCTCAAGTGATCGGCCAGCAGTTTCACCTCGTCGCTGCTCAAGTTCTTGCCTAAGAATTTGGCCGTTCTGCGGATGACGGACGACAGATCCTGCGCGAGATAAGAAAAATAAATGCATCGGTCTTTCGTAATCGGTATCGGCATGATCGATTTTTTACCATTTTCATATCTTCGAATCGCAGGAGCAACAAATTTTCCATGTTGCTCCGGTCCCAGTAACCGTTTACGTGATTCCAATACGGAGCGTAAAACACTGATAAAAAAAAAATGAAACGTCGCACCATAAAATCGTCGCAAACTATGCATTTTCATAACTCGTTCTCGCTTACCATGATCACCCAAGAACAATTCGCAAAACTCCTCGAAATTGCCGCAGTAACCCTCGAGTAGCTTGGAGTGATGATAGAACGATATGCACACGTCCTTGGGATTTCTCGAGACGTAAACGATCTTGGGCTTCTTCTCGCCGGTGCGTATCTGTCGGGGCAGCAGATTGAAGGGCAAGTGGCACTTGATGTAGCGCGGACTCGGCAGATTCTCGCAGAACTCGACGCTGTTCAGTACCCAGCTCGGCACGCTGGTGTTGTTGTCGCGCATCGCCACTCGAGCCGTCGTGATTATGCCGGAAAATCTGGCGAAATTATTTTTTAATTAGTTCGTCATCGTCGAATGCTTGATATATTGTTATTAACGTTTATGATGTATTTTTTACTCGAGAAACGGGAATCTTTCGTTGATCGGGGCCTTGGCCGTTTCGAAATTCAATTCGTGACAGATGCCCCAAACCATTTCCTGAGTCCAGGTCGTGCCTGGAAGTAAACTAGCACTTTTAGCATAATGCGACCGATTTACTAGTAATAGCAAAGAAAGAAAACCGCACCTGATTTTTGAAAACTACACACCCAGACGTCGTCGTCGCGCACCTCGAAGTTCTCCACGGCATCCGCTATTTGCTTGTAGTCCTCGGGAAGAAAAACCCCGTCGATTTTGATGAAATTCGTGCGAGCCTTTTCCGTCAGGGTTTCGTACGCGAGACGTTCCAAATCCACCTCGCTCATGGTCGACGATTTCGCTGCCATTACGAAGAAAGTTTAGACCAGAGAATTATATTGCAATTACCTCGACGATGGCAAAACGGAGTATGAAACGACGACGATCGATCGGTTGGAAACTCGCGGCGGAACTTCGCGGGTGGCTTTAACAGCTCTGCCGCAATAATATTAACGACGATTCGAGCTCGAGATTTTTGTTTGTCGATCGATCGGGCGTCAGATAACGGGCCGATATCTTTCTCGCTCTGATTATTGTCAACTCGAAGGCGAGAGAACATTTTACTACAAAGGCCTTTATTTTCCACGCGCGCGCGGATATTGTTATTGTGGGCTGCGATAATGATCGAAAGAAAAGTGTATCGTGGGCAAAAAATTAAAGTGTGAAACGTGTAATTCTTACGCTTTATTTACGTATCTTTTCCTTTTTTTTTATACAAAATAAAAATGGTTTGTAAAACGATGAATTACATTCATAAATCATTGGCGGTACGTGGGTTTTGTAAATATTTTTGATTCTTTCATGCGTATAGCAGAAGCTTCTAATATCAATATCGACTCATTTCCTTTTAATCGTGTTAACTTCAGAAAGTAAAACATTGCAAGTCATTATACAGATTTTTTTTTGTCAATTATACACTATACAGTGATCTCATAAGTGATATCATACCTTATGTAAATTTTATTTAAAAAATCCCATTTTTACGCCGTAAATAATAAAACAACAACGTGACCATCGAGATTAGAAATGAAATGAATAGAACAGTGATTTGTGTGTAAAAAAGTAGTTTATTATTTAAGATTTTTAAATAAATTGATTAGATAAAATGTGTTAAAACTATCGAGAACGACAATCAATTTATAATGATTTACCCTTGTTTACATAGTTTTACGCCTGAATTCACTGGAATCGTCTCGGTGGCTGTTTCATTCTCTCGTCCAAATAATGAAACAATTTGACAGTGTTCAAGTTTCTTATCATACGAATCTCCAGATTAATGCAATTCAAAAATTTTCCTCAATTACAATAATTTTTCCCCTTCAAGTTTTTAATTTCATCCAATCACGAGATGAGTATTATTTAAAACTTCAATCCCTCGCACTGTTTCAAATTTTCAACCGTCCAGGCGTCGAATTTCTCGATCATCTCTTCGCTCATCGTTTCTTTCCATTGACCCACCGAGCCGCTCCTTATAAATTCGCCATCGACCTTGGACTCTCCGTACACGTTGTTGCTCTTTATCCATTTGATGTTGAACTCTCTGTTCACCGCTGGATTATTCTTCATACTCTCGAAGCTCAGATGCTTGGCGAGTCTCTCAATTTCCTCGTCGTTCAGATTTTTGTTCAAGAAGTCGGCTGTTTTTTTGATAACAGATACGATATCCTGCACAAAGATAATACCGAATTTTTTTTTTATCGTTATTTGAGTTACTTTCACTTATTTGGATAATTAAGAATAAGGAAGATATACCTTCTTCATTTCTTCGTACGTGATGAAGAGAACATTCTCGTCGTGTCTTTTGTTCCAGAATTGTCGAACATGGTTCCAGTATGGAGCATAAGTAACTGTTCATAAAATAATAGTCAACTTGAATGTACTTGTCTTAAATGATCTTTTTATAATTCTATATCTCACCCGCGTCTCCCAAAAACAATTGGCAAAACTCATCGAAAGTGCCGAAGAAACCATCGAACAATTTCGAATGATGATAAAACGAGACGCACACGTCCTTTGGGTTTCGAGCGACGTAAATGATTTTCGGCTTTTTCACATCGTCCCTTATGTCCTTCGGGAGAAGATTCAGTGGATTGTGACTCTTGATGAATCTGGGATGGGGTAGTTCGTTGCAGCACTCGATACTGTGAGTCACGTATTTCGGCAGGCTCAGATTTTCGTCGGGAAAGTTTATGGCCATTCGAGCTGAAGCGACGACTCCGGAAAATCTAGAAATGATATCGGTTACTTGGGTTTCGATGCGCGAATGACTCAAAAATTAACAACGCACTCGAGATAGGGGAATCTTTCACTGATGGGTATCTTAGCTTTTTCGAAATCCAAGTTGTTGGCGATGCACCAAACCATTTCTTGGGTCCATGTGGTTCCTAACGCGTTAAAAAAATTGTAAATAATACGTAAAGGCAAGTAACCTTTTGTTTTGTTCTTATTTACCTGACTTTTGAAAACTACAGACCCAAACGTCGCTATCGTGCACCTCGAACGCGTCCACATCCGCGGCTATCTTTTCGTACTCCTCGGGTAAAAAGACGCCGTCGAACTCCACAAAATTGGTTCGCACCTTCTCGTGCATTTTTTCGCTGGCCAACTTTTTCAAATCGCACTGCATTTTGTAATAAATGAAAAAAAAAAATTTCGAGCAACTTCGAAATCGATTGAGGTGAGATACACCGTGCGCCAACTCTGACTCGTTACAATTGGAACGAAGTCGAATTAGACTTTTGCGAGAAAGTATTCGAATAATTGCTCGCCAATTATCAAATATTATCTTCTTATTTCGCGATTAATGAGCATTATCTCAATTAGTTGATGAGTACATAACATTGATTGGATTGATATGTAGAAATACACCGCAGATTAAGCAGTGGTTATAAATACCGCACATGTAAACGAATCTTTTTGAATCTTTCTCAAATTGTCAAACTGATTTATTGTTTCCCGGCTGACATCACTTACTTGCATCTCATTAATTTTGACGTTTTTTTATAAAGTTTTTTTTTTTCATCTATTCATCGAAAGATTAAATGTTTATTAATTAACACGGTTACTCCATAAATAAGGATATCCTATTTTGCTATTTTGTCAAATCCATAATCAATTTTAACTCCCACATAGAAATAAATTCATTTGATAAAGTATTAATTACGTTTAATTTTTATCGGGTAATTTATATTCATATTAGCCACTTATTATTTTTGTACTTTTTATATTTTCAAGTACTGCGGTTTTTGAGTTACGTGTTCGAATAACATTCAAGGCAATGGAAAATAAAGGCTAAGACCTGAAACTGAAGATAAAAAATTTTTTTTATAATATATTTTTGTTTCAAGTTTTTCTTCACTTTAAGAAAAGTCCCAATAAAATTATTTTTTGAATTATTAAAAGAAAACGATTTAGAGGTAAATAAAGTTGTAAAAGAATTGATATTAGGAATTAATTCTACAAAAATCGCATAAATTTCTGTGAGAATAGTTTCAGAGAATGATGAAATGAAATAACGCATCTTATACTGAATTATTTTAATTTTCTTTATAATTTTTTAAAACTATAAGCATTTTTCTATTTTTCATATAAAACTTAAAATTTAAGTAAAAAATTAAGCGTTTTAAAGGAAATCGTATAGATTCCACTTTATACTACAGTTTTTCCTTAAAAAAAAAAGTCGAGTCGAAGGTACAAAGTTATAGAAAACATGATGAGTTAATATTTTTGAGCTTCAAAAATAAGACATAGTGTGAGAGCTTAATTATACACTTACACAAAGATAATACATATTTACTTTAGGATAAAATTGTGTACTTTGTTTCAGGTACTAGGCTCATTTTATTTGTCTTGCATTATTAAAACAATATGCTAAAGTGGAAAAGAACTATGAACATTTACTTATTTTTTATTTAATTGTTGTTTTTTGTAATCAAAAATTAATATCTATAATTGTACCATTCCAGTAATTATAAACGAGTGAATCAAATGTATAATTATTATTAACTGATTTTGAATCAAAGAATTATGACAGTGAAAATTAACAGTTGTGCAACAGAAGGAGTATTTTTTGTACGTTTTTGAAAAAAACTTTAAAATTGATACATTAAAATTGAAAAGTTGGTAAATCAATAATTTTTCAGGTAATATCGATTTCGAATATTTTATCATGAAATAAAATTTTGAGTTTATAAATTTTGGATTATATACATCAAACCAATCTTCAGTGTACATTATTTTTTTTACATAGGCAGTGTCTCAAATTCATAAAATTTATAATACATGTTAATACATTTCCACGAAGTGAATTACATAATTACATGATACACTTTACTATAAAAATATTCATACTTTGAAATAAATAAGAATGTTTTATACTTCGCAAGTCTTAAATAAAAACTTGATTTAAACTGTAAAAATCAGTAATGGTTGTTCTATCATTGCATACTTGTACTCTGTGTTGGTACCCTTGACCCTCAATACATTTTCTTAAATTATTTTTCATTACCGATATGTACAAATTTCGTACAATTTATTTTATACAATAAATTTCAATAAAATAATTTACTTAAAAAACAATTTTTTTGTCATGTCTTTGATATACTGTTCGTTGAACATTTGTTTATAAAATATCATCAGTCTTCTTCGGTTATCGCTAAGATTAATAATTTTCTTCAGAGAATATTTTCACACTTAGACCATTTGTAGTTTTAAATGAATATTTTATAATACAACCTTAGCGCTATGAAATTATCTCAATACATTTCATCAAAATAAGTCACTATTTCAAAATTAAAATTAACTTATTCACTCAAGTTCATCCATGGTGTTCAACTTATGTTTTAAAACCATTACAATGCATTGAATGAATGGAGTATTAAGTTTACTTTTAAAAAGTTAATTATGCCAATGAATCTTAACTCTAAAAATTAAATTTTCTATTAATTTACATTAAAAGTTCAAATTTACAATAATTTAGAACTGGAGAATTCTATAAGTACTTTGTATCTCTTACATTAGAGGTTCGGCGAATACATTTTCGGTTTTAACGCATAGGCACATTGATTTGATCTCTTTAGAAGTAAAAATTTGTAATCGCTACAAATTAGAAATAACGCTTACACTTTGAGACAGATCAACTTGTCCTTTCAAAACTTTTTGTTGAAGTTTTTTACTAAATATCTTGGCCATTAATTTATTACACCTGGCTTCTTCTTGAAGTTGCTGCTGTTTACGTATAGTTCGCATCTGCTCCATTTGTGCATAACGTTTTCTACTTATTACTTTCATTTCTTCATCGGTTATCCTCTTTTGCATCGGCTCTGAAATCATAAATTAATTGTATTAAAATTTGGATGCATTTAAATTTAAAATAATTTCAACCACACTCACGGGTCGCTTTAATCGGCCTAGCAGGGTTAAACAAATTGGTCGTTGTAGTCATTTCTAATAATTTCAGTCTTTTATCTTTTCTAAGTTGTCGCAAACGTTGTATTTCAGAAACATACTGCCTTCGAGTTTCAACATGATCGGCAAAACCAGGATTATTTGATTTTAAATATTCCTAAAATATAATCGTTATAATAAAATTTTTACTTTTCATCGAACTAACAAAATAAAGGACATCAAAATTCACCTGTAATGTCTCTTTCCCACCGCTGAATTTTGCTGTACGCGCGGGTCTGCAATCGCATTCGCACCTTTTAATTGTGAGCTGGGATCCAGCGCAGGAGCATCCATTCATCAGATTCGACATTAGCCTTGCCCTTGCTTCTGTTCTTCTGTTCTCGATGCTCTTGACTTCCATTCGAACATCCTCGTGGACTTTTTCGGCCGGCACAAAAGACACCTCGAAAGCTACGGGCTCGGGATAGGTTTTGATTTGGCAATTGCAGCGGCGTTCGTTTTGGTACATCATGCCACAGACTCGGCAACACTTGTAGTCGCTCGTAGCTAAGCCATTCATCGATCGTGGGCTTTTCGTCGGACTGACACTATAAACAATTTTCATTTAGTTTTGAACCAATGATATTAGTGAAATACTACTGTCTGACTTTTTAAATTTATCGTTTACTTACAATCTTACTGTCATGTCCGCAAGTACATGAGCGCAAACAAATTCATATAATTTTATTATTGCAACTTTACAAAAATCATAATCTAAGTACAGAACTTTAAAAGTTGCGAAAATTAACTCAAATATTAAAACGATATCAAAGTACTAATAATAATAGGGACAAATTTGTTTCATAAAAAGGACTTGAATTTGACAATAACACTCACCTTGCGTATGTTTTTGTTCTCTCTTTTGGTTTGGTTGCTTTGCAACAACAATTTTCCGGATGGTGTTCTTTATTGGAGTTTAATAGAAAGTACGGAGTGGGTTTTTTATTAGCTTGACAGTTATAATTTTTTTGATTATAAGGTGTTTCTTCCAATGGTTTTTTGCAATGACACGTTGAACACCTTGGACTATTTGTTTTTTCCGTTAATTTTTTACAAGATCCAATTGCTTGTTCATTAATTTGCATTTTATTAAATGAGCATCTAACTTTTTCACTGCAATCACATTCTCTTGGACTAGGACTCGTGGATTGTTTATATTGAGAGGCCGAGCACATAGAATTACCACAACAATGCTGAGTACACGAAGCAGATTTTTTCATTTTTTCGGCAACATAATCATTGCTTGGGCCAGCATTACCAGCATGATTGCACGTACACTTAATTTTAGTCGCGTTCATTTGATTTTTCGTTTCTTTTGGATCATTAACTTTATTGCACGTATATTTGGCTTCGTCTCTTGACAAATTTGTTTGTTCTGTCAAACTTTGTGTTCTACAAACAAGACAATATTGCTCGCTACATGTACAGGCTGGCGATTCCACTCGTTTATGAACTGAACAGTGTGAATTTACCTAAAAAGTTAAATTCATTAGAAAACTAGGCAAAATGCAAAAAGAAAATTTGAAAGAATTCACATTACCAGAGATGACGTCGTCTGAGTGTTAGCATTAACGACTTTTGATGGAGCAGATAGTCTAGCTGACACGATTTCACTACCTGTTCTTGAATACGCTGCAGAAGTATCTGTTTCCGTTTGAGTGCAACTATTTCTTTTTTTCAATCTTTTGACCGTACTTGGGTTGCCTGTTAGATAAGTAGCTAAATTACAATGCGAAGACCATTGTCTGCTCATGTGCGAATCATCACCGTTTGGTAATCCTTTTTTCGGACTTTTTGAAGTCGATTCTTTTGTTTTTTGCGATACAGACTTGTCGTTCTGAGCGTAGTATCTTGAGTCATGTACTTCTAAAAGCCTTTTCAGTTTCGATAAGTGACTAATTTCATTAGTTATCCAATCGAGCTGATTACGCTTTTCCATTTCGACGTAAGACACAAGTTTACTGTCACCAGAATCCGAAGCGCTCCTTCGCATTTCATATTGTCGCTCTGACATGGTAGTCGGTAAGCGCCAATCAGTACTTTGAGCTCCCTCGTTGCTTGAGTCCATTAGGCTTCGCCTATTCAAATACAAAGAGTAAGATAATATATTCTGTGTCAGGAGCAGGATAAAATATTACTATAATTCTCACCTATTATTTACGACAGCATCAAGCAAAACTCGATTAGGATCTTGCGGTGAACTGTTGCTAGTTGAACTAATGAACATATCTTTTAATTTTTCATTTTTGTTATAATTACGTTGAGGTAGAAAACACTCAGAACTTTCGCTTTTATGCGTCGGTGTATTACTATCACTGCGTCTCTCGCAATCATCAACTCTCAACCCCATGCGCGCTTTTCTACCATCCATAACTGTTCTGTCCGTGTTTCGATCAAATTTATCACTATTACTACTTTCTATTCCTTAAAAACAAAAACATTGATATGAAATGAAGATAAAATATTTAAATTAGATTACAATTTTTAACTCACTAGGTATAATCTCTTTGACAGTTCTAGGCTCATTGACAGCTAGCGACTTTTTAGGATTTTTTTTCTTTTGAGACTGAGTTGGTTTCCAGTCGTCCGATGAGTCGGTAGTATTTTTCGCCAAAGCTTGAATGATATCATTTCTGTATACTTTATTTCTGGCATCAGCAGGATTCCAAGGTACATTAGCTTCAAGATCATGCTCAATTTTATCATCTGTATACTTGGCTGTGACAAGTCGCTTCACTACGTGATGAATGAGACGACGTTTCACTTGTTTATCCAATTTGTTCGCATCCACAAGAGTTTTGAGAATTTGAACACTTCGCTCGAGATCGTGCACAAGACTACCGGAATCGCCCCAGAGTTTTTCATCAATGCTCGAGCTTGTGTTGGGCATCGTCGAGTTTGATCTTCCCGTGTCAACTGATGAAACTTGACTAGTGCTTCCATTAGGAACATTTTCATAAACGTGCCCTATATTGTAAAAAAATATAAATGTATAAATTAAAAAAGAACATTAAAAAGTTATTTACATCTCGTAAAATTTGCATTAGTTCTTACCCGGGAAGTACTCGAAACTGTTTGCTCGTCCAGTGACATTTTCAGTATCGTCGGCTAACGGAGTCATTCGAATATTATTTGAAGATTCAGAACTGCTATCATTGTCATTGGAATCGTTCTCTTTGGATGTTGATGGTTCTCTTGAACCGGAATTTTTCGGATTCAAAACTTTATATGTACTCTTTGGAGTCTTCAAAATTGAATTCAAAGATCTGTGAGCTAAGCTAGCTGCTCTTTGAGGTATATCTGGTTTTTCCTCTTCCTATAAAAAAAATATTAATGTTTAAATGACCTTTTATCATGTTTGCTCGATCAAAAAATTAATAATACTGACCTTGAGTACAGATACTTGAACTCCAATTGACTCTTGAGTGCATGGCCTGATACTTGTTTGTATTAGCTTATTGCACATTGCGGGTTTATTATTAACAACCGTCGCTATTGACGACGATGAATGGAAAACAAACTTCGAAGGATTACTCGTGCCAGAGCAAAGATTTAAATCGCTGTTGCTGCGCTTTAGTGATTCCTTAGTTTGCGGCAATTGATTCATAGAAGAACTCTTTTTTAAGGGTGAATTCCTATCACTAAGCGACGAAGAAATTGGAATGGAAACCGAAGCTGGAGCTGATGATTTATTGACCGATCGGCAAGAACTTTTGATACTCGAGTCGTCGGCTACGTACTTGAGTGACAGAGGAAGTTTGAATACTGGATTTGTCGATTTTGGAGTATCGATTTGTTGTCTCAATTGTTCCTGTAAAAAATGTATGATAAAATCAATTATTTGCAACACAGCATGATTATAGGTGACTGTAATATTTAACCTAATTTTTTTTCGTAAGTAAAACATTATAACAAAATACAATCGAGCTTTTTCGGTTCGACGCATGAACTTTTTACTTGTCGCACCAATTATTCGAGATTTAAAAAAGAAATAAACACGTACCTTAACAATGTTTTTCCTCGTATTTAAACTAGCTTCATCCTCGTTATTTTTCAATTCCGTTATGGTCGGAGCAGGAAAGTTCAAAGTTTTTACTATCGGTGTTATTTCGATTTCGCTCTCGCTACTCGATTTAGTAGTTAGCATAGGTGTCGAGCTAGCGTCCGGTTTCATACCGATCATCATACCGTTGCCCCGCGTTATGCCCATACTAGTTCCTGTAACAGTAGCCTGAGATTCTGAATTGTTACTTGATTGATATTGTTGTTGCTGCTGCTGTTGTTGTTGCTGTTGTTGCTGCTGCTGCTGTTGCAGTGGTTGTTGCGGTTGTTGTTGTTGTTTCGGAAGTGGTGTAGATGTAGTCGGTGGTTGTTGTTGTTGTTGCTGTTGGAATTGTTCAGTCGTGCCCTCGGGGTCGAGCCTCAGGGCAGCCGAGCAGCCGCGTTCGAGCGCCATGCGCTCGAGGGTGCTAATGTTGATGCGATGACGGTGCAGTTGAAGATCCGTGGCGTAACCGACGTCCGCCCCGCTGTCCCATTCGAGGGGCGGTTTCTGCGAGGCTACGCTGGACGTGGGCGAGGGTGCCTTCGTCGCGTCGGACTCGATGCTCGTCAAAATGACGTTCGACGAGGAGTCGGAAACGAGCTCGGACTTGCCCTTGCAGTCGCCGCCGCTGCTACTGTTGACTTTCGGGGCGGGATGATCCTTGTCTCTTTCCACGTTGTCGAGAGTGTCCACACTTATCACAGCTTGGCTAGCTGCGTTAAGCGTCGCTTCAGGCCATATCGGCATCGACTGTATTGTGAACACAAATCAATGATTTTGGTTTCGTTTGTAAACATTAATATACGCGCTAAGAATACGAAATTTCATGCATCATCGAAACGCGAAGCCCTACATTATTAGTTCAATATTATTTGTAAAATAATGAATTGTACGTTTGAGTACGGTAATCATTATAATATTTGTTTTTTTTTTTCAATTTTTTGCAATCTTAATTTTTTTTATTTTGAAATTTTGCAATATTTCAGTATTGTTGAACTCATTTCAAATTTTCTTCTGCAGAGAAATAATTCACAGCCTAGACTGCTTCAGTGGATAGTATGAATTCTTTCATCACTAAACACTCTATCTATATCTATTTATTGATCAAACATTTCAACTTGATTCATAACATATAATGAATGAAGTGTTCTTATTTACAAAAGTTGGTGTCATGTCTAAGATTTTACTAATACAATACCTATTTTATTTTTCTAAGTGAAATTTATTGTTTTCATTTATTATAAACATGATTTTGAAAAAATTTAAAGGTAAAATGATTTGAGCATAAAATAAATTTTATTTATTTTATTCATGCATGTAAATAAAATTTAATGTCAATTCATGATTTTCATACAAACCTTAATAAGAGCACAAGGATTTTCTGTAGAAGATTGACCATCCAATGGTGGTCTCACCCAGCGTCTTCTTTCCTTGGGATTGAATCCTTGAACTCTGTGATCAGATTCAATACAGCTTTGTTTCCCAGGTAGGTACTTGGGATTTAAATCGTAAAAATTGTAGTAATACTTGGTGGCTCCTGTGCCATTACTGTAAGTACTACCAGACAAGGAAAAATACTGATTCAAATTTGAATTCTGCGAGTACCTGCAAGAATATTCACAGCATTCTTCGTAAATAGAAGACATTCGGTTTAGGACCTCAAACCAGAAAACCAATTGGTGTCGCCGAAAGAATTAAAACATAGGCCAGCGACACCAAGTGCATCTTTTGGAGCACAATAAAACCATATCTTCCAAAAGTGTTGTGGCAATAGTAGTAATAATGTGTGTTTAAATTGAAAAAAAAAGAGGGTAGTGATTCAAAGCAGCCCAGAGGAGCAATAACTGATTTGTGCAATTGAAGAGTCTTACTTCTGATAATACTCCATAACTTGAGAGGAGAGCAATTGGCTGCTGCTCGTGGCCCTGGTTTGAAACTTGACTTGGCCAACGGTTGCAGCTATGCTACCCGTGCCAGCTGCAGTCGCAGTGTTGACAAGGTGCCAAGTGCTGGTTATGGAGTTTGTCTGGCATGATTGCTCCTGACTACTGGGCTGCTGCGACTGCTCGTCATTGTGATTCTTATCTTCGAAACTTGAACCAGTAGTAGCATCCATAGTCGTCGCGACGCTCTTTACATCTCCGCCTCTTTGGATCGACAATCCCTTGGAAATGTCCTATCTGCGTCGCGGTTCCGTACGGAGCCTCGGCATTCATAACTTTGTCTCACTGAGTCGATGATGATCACGAGATTTTCATTGAACTTTCAATCGTGAAAAACGAGCTTCACCCCGCGGAACGTAAACTCACTAGGCCGTTTGTTGATATGCAACGGTGCGGGGGTTATGAAGCGACGCCAAGCTGAAGTTCATCCGTTCATTAACGAAGGGTCGAAAACACTGTCGATCGAACGCTGCACGAACACCGGTCGGAGTCAGAAAAACGCGAAACACTGGTGAAAATGGAACGAGTTTTGAATCGGAGTCGGTTGGCGTCACCTAGAAGTCGCACTCCGCAACGGCAGATAGCGTACACAAAAAATTGTTGTTTACATCGACGGCGGAATGGATTTGCGTATATACGCTGCTGTAGTATCGCGTCTACGCGCGAGTATGCGTTGCTGCATGTATATACACTACACATACACACAATCGTATAGTATATGTACACAATATCGTAGAGAGAGAGAACGTAGCGCCTCGCCGAGGTCGTACGCGTGCTGGTACTACTACGCCGAGCGATGAATGCACATTTCGAATAAAACGAGCGAAATATCATACTACAAGCGCATAGCACAGGGGCAGATCCGCAGATGTGTGTGTGTGTATGCGTGTGTATGCGTGCGAGGTGGTTTCTATATAGTATTTTATGGTGGGGGTAAATTGTAATTTCGCATAGTAGAGAGAAGCGTGTTATTTGTATAGCGGTGGAGGGACGCCGCCGCGATTCACCGCCGTGTACTCATCACAGACGCGCCGCACACACACATACACACATACCAAATACAAAATATATATATATAGGCAAGTGCGTAGCATCTCTTTCGCTCGATAAAACGCGCGGACTTGAATTTTTGTCCCGCACAATCGCGGCGTCGTCTGTTCTCAGCCTATGCGTGCAAGGCTGCTCCGAAATAATTGGAGACATCGAGCAAGTTTATTTCCAGGCTTTTGCGAGATTAACGATGACTATTTTCTTCTTTTCGCGACCAACGCGGCAACGAACACAACTCTACGACGAGGACGTGCCCACGAAGTAGAGCCCCCCTACTGCGTGCGGCTTGAAAAATAAAAACAACAAAAAAAAAAAAAAAACACGCGATTCGCGCCACAAAATGGGCGTAGCATGGGTTCGTCGTCGTCGTCGTCGTCGTCGTTGGAGAGCATTCGCATCGCGGCACTGCAGTCAACTTGTGTATAATATACATTATTATTATATATGCGAAAAGTATATAAAACAACGAGCGGAGCCGGAGCTGCTCTCGGGGGCTTTCTTCGTCGTATTATTGGCTCGAAAGGGTTGCGAATTCGATCGTTCTCCGCGCGCGCGCGATCCGGTGGTCGTGGATGAAACGCGATATTCGCCCGTCGAGCTCGTATTATATTTTATGGAATTTTTTTTTTCAGCCTCCGCGTACGAGCTTATTCCTTTTTTTTTCGCCCGGAATTTTTTAAATTTATTTGGATGAGTAACGAGAGACACCGAAATTCATCGCGTCATATTTTATATTGGAGAAAATAATCAGTCGTTATTACGATGCTGTAAATCCGCCGAAACAGGTACTTGCATAAGAGCTGCATTCATTTTAAAATATTTTTCAGCTGTTGGAAGTTTGAATTGTCTTCAAAATATTATCTATTTAGAGTCAAGATGAATTTTGTTTACTCTATTCAGCTGTTCGCCAAATAGTAGAGTCGAAATATCGCTTGAATCTTCGCTCACGGAACACGATCATCGAGTAAACAATTGTCAAAATATCAAAAACTATCTGAATTGATATTTCAGGAATTAATTGTTCCATGGTATTAGCAAAAGCAATGCGTGCGTAATCGTTGAAGTTACACGTACAACGCGAAAAATGCGCTTTATTGAATTTATATGTCAAAAACGTGCACGCTCGGGCATTCGCGTACAATAATTACGATAGCTACGTGACTAAAAAATAAATTACTCAACGTTTTCAAAAAATCGAGAAGAATCGTCGAGCGCGTGCGAGAGCGACCTCTGGACGTGTAACTCTTCGTTTATCAATTATCAAATTCCTGTGCGATTTTATTTCTGCTTTCGGGTGTCGATTCGCGTACCGTACCTACTGCTACTAAATTCACATTTCACCGCGCGCGCGGCCCCCGCCGTCGTTCCTGCAGCAGCTCGGGCGAGACTGCGCAAAAGAGCCAATGAATTCGGAGAGAGAACACGTTTTTTGGGTATAATTCTCGTCTCGTACTCTCTCGTCGCTGCCCGTCTGTATAAGTATAGGCTATTGCTACTATACAAGGTTGCGCGACTACGACGCCGGACAAGCCGAGAGAAGCGAGAGCATTATTGCCAAGGTGTTGGTGGGCTGCTACTGCTGCTGCTGCTGCTGCTTTACTCGTTTCAAGAGAGCCCGATATAACAGTGTGGTGTGCGTGCGTGTGCTTTAATACAGCGAGCAGAGTAACGCGCGGTGCATCGACGATATATAATTTTATAGTGCTTAAACACTTGTTGGTGCAGAATTTTCGAGAAACATGGACGACTGGGGTAAGTTTATCCAGCGAATTCTTTTAATCGAGATCTCGGTGTGCATTTTCGCAACCGTTTCGTGAAAAGAAAATTATCTAACACGTTTGTATCTCTCTCTCTTCCTCACGCAGAGACTGAGAAAGTCGAGGCGCAATATGCCCTGAACGTTAACTCAAACAAATGGGAAGGAGAGGACGAGGACGACGAAGTTCTGGTGAGTTATTTTTTCATCGATTTATCCCTCTCATTGTTTATGTAAGACGCGAATTTCCCTAAGCACGCAAGTGCAGCATCGATTTAAATGCTAGCAGGTGCCATTACTTTTGTCACATAACCTATACTTTCGACCACAAATGCTGCATTGTACATGTCGTTTAGCTAACACATGGTCGACATTTGCTTGCAGTAAAATTCTTCTAAAAAATTATTTAAATTTATTAATTTTTCTTTACAATCAAAAGATTTTATAAATGTTTGCTTTTAATTCTATCGTTCTTCAAAATCATGAAAATACATAATATTTGTTTTATTTATCTCCTGTCATTCTAATACTAAAACCAAAAATTATTTTGATATTACAGGACAGTTGGGAAAACATCGATGAAGAAAAAAAAGATGTCGAAAAACCAGCTGAGGCTCCTAAGGTCAAGGCAAAACCTAAGAGAACGTTAGCTGAAAAAATTGAAGAGAAAGAGGTATTGTTACTTGTTTGTGCATGTCTTGAAATTTTTATTCAAATATTTTTAAAAATTTAATATTAAATCACAGAGGAAAGCTAGAGAAGAAGCAGAGAGAAAGGCAAAGGAAAGGGATGAAGCCCTAACACCTGAAGAGAGGAGAGCAGAAATGCTCAGAAGACAAAAACTCCAAGAAGAAGCCGATCTCCGACTTGCTATGGAAACTTTTGGTTTGTCCAACCTTGTTGACTTTAGTTCGCGTAAATCTCCGAAAGAAAAAACTTCAAAAAAATAACTATTCAAACGTATATTTCTTTGGATTAATCATACAATTGAGTTGAAGAGAAAAAAATCTTGAAGTAACAAGCAACCACTAGAAAATAAAAAGTTTCTCTCCAATCATAAAAACTCGAACAAATTCAGCTTTATTAATGAGCTTTAAAGCTCTCAAAACTAGCTGTGATTCCGGTAGAATTGAGATTTGTATAAATATTAGTCACTACAAAGTATCATAATTTTTCTACTCAAATTTTTAGTATTTTTTTATCAAAGTTTATAGCATTTAATAACACAATATTGCATATATCACAGTTATTTCTAAGTAAAAACAATTACAAATAACTGTTGAAGCTCACTTTATCTTTTATAAAAATTAAAAATTTTAGTATTACCAAATCATAAGTAACTTAAGAACTATATATTTTTTTCTTACTAAATTGAGAAAGATTCTTGTTACATTTATTCTTACACTGTATGATTTTTATTTTGGCACAACGGTGATATATATTCTTAAAAAATATTCATGTCTGAGCCATATTGCTATATGATCAATTCATAAATCAAAATTATTATATAACCAAACAGTATTTGAATTTTATTAATTTTAAGTTTTAATAACAAAAGCATTTATCGAAGTATTTTCATAAACTCATTTGTTAAAATTAGACAATCTTTTTTATATTTACTATGGCTACAGACATCAGTAATTTTAAAAATATTCTTTTAAGATTACTTTAATATAATTCATGTGAGCTATAAAAATTTTTCTACTGCGACGTCTTCACTGATGATATATCAAAAATGTGATTGTATGTCAATAAAAATTAGTTTAAAAAACCGTTGTGTCAAATTTGGTTTTTTTAAATCACCTTTTAATTATTTTGTGTTTTATAACATAAAAGCATTTATAATTTACTTTAAAAAATTCATAATAGCCGTTTTGAAAAATTTTATACTTATGGATGCAAGTAAATAAGTTATTTCTATTTCATATATTCAGATTTTCTGTAATTTTTAAAGAGTAAAAAGTGGAATCAATTTTAACAAAATCTTTTTTTAAGGTGTTACCGATAATGTAAGTGGTATTGATGCTATGATGCCTACGAATGCAGAGGAGTTCAAGGAATTCGGAGATGCGCTCATGAATAAAATCAACCAATTTAACAAACACGCAGACTATACACTTTTTGCTGAAGAATTAATAAAAAATATATCTATATCTCGTAAGTAAATGAAAAACTTTGCCATTATAATATAAATAAATGGAATTCATAACATTAACATTCCTTTAAATTGTTTTCAGTGCCTGCTACTTCTTTAAGAAAAGTGAAAACAAGCGTAGAAAGTCTTCACACAGAGAAAGTAAAAATGGAGAAAGAAAAACAAAAAGGAAAGAGTAAAAGCAAATCCAAAGCTAAGTTGAGATTGGAAGGTGACAGTGACAGATTCAATAATTTTGACACGTATGATGATAATGATTACGATGATTTCATGTAGCGACTTTGTACAATTTGGTACAATCTAGTCCTACAATATAACTTTTGTCACTTGTGCTAATATAGTCATTACAGAAGAAAAAAAATAAGAAGAAAAAGCAGTCTGAATGGATCTTCTCAAAGCTTTTACAATTACATCAGTTTGTTAATACTTGTTACTAATTTGGTCACGTGAATAATTTTTTTAAACGTTATAATTTTCATATACTATTTATTTAAAATAATGACTTATTTTGACGTAAATACCATCAAAGTGCAATTAGAAAATAATCGGTTGTTAATAATCCGTTCATACTCTTTTTCATGCAGTATAATAAACGTGCGCCAAAGCGAGTTGACTATACTAATACTGTAAAAATTATATAAATACAAGTGCTATCAGCTTAGCTAAAAGCAAATTTGTAAATATTCTACACTCCATTTACATCGTTGGTTTCTGTATGATCAATACTATGCATCATGTACTCATTTGCGTTTGTTCTTGTACTGCATGTTTTTACAGTCTTATTGAATGTTGAAAATTGTCAAGTTGATACAGTTGCTGGTCAATATACAACTTGGATAATCTATTACTATTACAAAAAATACTATCCAGCCTGTATATGAAAATACAATAAAATTTCAAACAGATTAAAAATGTAAACATTATTTGAACTTTAATTCTAAATAGTTCTTGTACCAAAATTGATGTATATTTTTGATCACATTCAAATGGAGCTATCTTTTTTTTATCTGGTGTGAGTTGTGTTGATAAATTATAATTAAGTTAATGATGAATGTTCATTTTAAAATAAATAAAAATTTTTAAAAATTCATGCAATATTTTCTTAACGTTGAAAAAGCTTACACTAGAAACCGTTTAGTAGTTACTTTTTACATAAAATATATTATAAACAATAATCCATAAAGGCAATAAGTAAGTCATGCAGTCTTTTTTCCAAGTCTGCGCATTTTATATATTGTGCTAATGTTATTACACATTGAAAAAAATTGCGTGCATGAAAATTAATATTATAATAAAATTGAAGACAAGTTGTTCTTTGAAGAGTATATTCTTGAATAAAGGTTGATTAAAATAAATAATTTATTCTTTCTAGTGTCAAAAATTATTAAACAAACTAATTTTACGTAAAAACTAATTTTATATCTATTTTAAAAATAGTTATTTTCATAACTTTTCTCTTAAGTGTATAATGTACAATGATGAGGATCACTTATATATATATGTGTGAAGAATAGTCATGATGATTGCCAAATATTTACAGTTATATTCTCAAAAGATGTTCTATTAAAAAGAACCCGTAAAATCTAGTACATGCCGCTTGTACAAAGCATTGATATTTCAAAAAGTTGTCCATCATAGAACGATATTTTTTAGTTCTAAGAGTCAATTTTTATACTAGTTTTATGTTGAATTTATGTTTAATTTTGTTGCTTCGTGCCTTATTACATTTATCAGTTCCTGGTTAATAAGAAATATGAATTTTAACCCAGCGATCTAAAAAACAGACGTATTTAAATATAATTGATGATATAGGAAATCACATTTAAAAATTACTCACCTCTATGACACTATTATTATTTAATTTCATCTTGTTGCCTGAAAGGATTGGTCGGCTGTCGACAAAGATCGGTCGTTTGCCTTCAGAAGACAAAAAGAAATCTCCGTTGTTTTTCAGACGAATAGTTCCTTGACGACGAGACACTTTCCATGCTGGACCTTCCAGAGATAGATCGATATCTACATTTTGATTTTTTGTACTGCGCCCAACTGTAATCTAAAAAAATATTTATAAAAATTATTGATGAAATTGTTAAGAAACAGAATCATTTTTCACTCTCCTAAAAGTATTTACTTTATATTAAAAATATTAGTATTTTAATTTTAACTATTTTAATTTTTTAATTTTCACTACAATACCTAAATATTCAATAATTATTTACCTCCCGTGATCGCATTAAATATCTTACTAGTCTTCCTCTGAGAATGGCAAGAGTTCCATTGTCAAAGTGAGGTTGATTAGAGCCAGTCACATTTTCAACAAGAACCTGCCACCTTACAAGTTCATTTTCCAATGTGCGTATTTCTTTTTTATTTTTTCTGTCTATAAGAAGTAGTTCATTATCCATAGATTCATTTTTTTGTTCAGCTAAATCATTATCATTTATCATATCTTCAGCATCAGAAAATGTGATTGATTCTCCTCTAGGCACAGAACTAGCTGTTTGGTCAGGTAAGAGATGATATTGTTTCATAAGTTGCCAGTGTGATAATAAGGCTTTTGCAGTTCTGGCTGGATAAAAAGTTTGAGCATTTGTTTCCAACAGTCTTTGGAATTCCTCTAATGGAGGTGTTTGTCCACTCTAAACAAACAAGAAAAAAAAACAATTTTCATCAAGTAAAGTAATTTTTAAATAAAAATAGAAATATAGTTTTGGACAACATTAAAATTGTCCAAATTTAAGAGTACACAAATACAATAAAATAAAGCTTACAGGGCTTGCAGCTTTAATGGTACCCAATAGGTCCTCTTCTTGTTTGCTATACAATGTTCTTGCTTGAATATTAGCTATTAACTCTGGATGTAAATTTCTCATTGCTTGAACTGCTACTCGTGATACAGCACTGTCATAGAGTAACGCATACCATCTTTGTTGAATTTCTTGTAAAGTAAATCGGCATGAAAACTTAGTTCCTCTATAAACCTATTAAAAAATAATAGTAATATTACATATTTTACAAAGGAAATATGAAAAAATTGTGATGAAAAATTACCATTTTTAAATCATTTGTTTGTTGAACACCAATCACAAGTGCTAAATCATCAGTTGGTTTCCAGCGGCCCAAATCTTTTGTCGCATTAACAGAGTAAGAATGATGTTTACTTTTCTTGCTTTTACGGTTACTACTACTTGAACCACTTGGTCTAGATGGTCTTTTATGAGTTTTCTCAACCACTGGTATCACCGCAGGTTGTAACAAGGGAGTTTGTAGTGCCTGTACCTGCTGTGCTTGTTGTGCTAGAGGAGGTAAGATATCCTGAGTGGAAGTCACAGGGATGGCAATTGGTCTTGAGCGAGGATTGATTTTCGACACGGTAGCCGACGGCTGCAAATTGAAGGTAGTTTCAACGAGCTCGTCGTCGAACTTTTTTCGCTTTATTTGACGTGACGAGCTAAACAAAAATGATTATTGTGAAAATGTTTGCAATGAAAATTAACGTTTTTCTCTAGCCAAGCTTACCTCCTTCTTTTGGTTGCATCGGACGAGGAGGAATCCATGGAGATGTTCATAATTGCTGAATTTTTAGCCATTAAAATCCGTAAAAAAACATAAGATTGGAATTAATTCCAATGAATCATTTATTTTCTGTTTATTTCTTTGTCGAGTCGAAGGTTATGTTTCGCTCAAGTTTTGATATTTGCAAAATAAGTCACTTTCTGTAGTCGTCTGCACCGATGAGTCATGCGTATGAAATTCGACAGCAGTGAGCAGTTTCGCAGTTGCCGTTGCAGAGTGCGCCGTACATCCGAAAAATCGTCAACACGTCTGTAATGTAAATAAATCCAAACTGTCTGGTCGTGTCAGAGCCAGTGAAATGTTGCGTTCGTATAAAGATCAAGTTTTTCGAGGACATTTCCAACGCTAGTCATAAAATCGTTGGTTATTTCAACATTTTCCTAAATATTTAACAATAATCAAGTGTATTCAATAGTTGTTAATCGCGTTGATATAGATTTATAAAGTGTCATTCGTATTATCGATCATCGTTTACTCTTAAACTTTAATGACGAGTGGAGCATTAAAATTATCAATAAACAATGTTTTCTCTTATGAGTGTGGCAGTTAGCAATAATAAGCACGAAAATGACGAACTTTACAGTGCTATTGCAAACAAAAACGAACAAAAAGTTGCATTTCTGCTGAGCCAAAACATATTCGATGTGAATAGATTGATTGGAAGAAGTGAACAAATTGAAATTATAAGAAGAGAAACTAGTCAGAGAATAAATCGCATGGATAAACTTGAAGATCTTGATGAACATCTCAGAGAAACTTTATTCGATAAAATCTATTCCAATCTCAATTATCCTGTGGGAGAGACATACTTACATGTAGCAATAAAGTGTCAAGCAGTTAAAATAATTGAAATTCTTGTAAAACATGGAGCTAAAACAACAGCTAGGAATTGCACAGGTGAAACAGTTTTTCAACGAGCTTTTAAAACTTTTGATAGGTCCATCATTAAGTATCTTGTTCCATTCATGGATGTCAATGATGGAGATCTATATGGTAGAATGCCTCTTCATTACGCTGTTCATTTTGGAGATTTAGAAATAGTTAAAATGTTACTGCAACAAGGTGCAAATCCAAATAAACCAAATTCCATAAATTCCACTCCATTTCATATTGCAGTTAAAAAAGACAAATTACAAATAGCTGAATTAATGCTAAATTTTAATGCAGATCCAAACTTGGTAACTCATAAAGGTAGTAGACCACTGCACTTAGCCATTCGCAATGATTCACATCTCATGGTCCAACTATTGCTTCAGCATGGCGCCGATGTCCATGCTGAATGTTCAGAAGAGCGCCTTTTACGACCTATTCATATGGCAGTACACAAGGGTAACTTTCAATTAGTGGTTACTTTAGTTCAAAATGGTGCGGATGTTAACCACTGTACACAACTAGATGAAACTCCTTTAAATATTGCTGTTGCTTTTGAACACGAAGCTATCGCTAAATTTCTTGTTAAAAAAGGAGCAAATGTTCATAATGAAAAAGACGATCAGATGTTGCTTCATATGGCTGTGAAAGTACGCAATGCAAGAATAGTAAAACTTTTATTGGAAAATGAAGTAAATGTAAATATTTTCTCCGATGCAGATGGATGGACTCCATTACATTGTGCTGTAAGTGAAAGAGATCATGAAATTGTAGATATGTTGATAAATTGTCGCGCACTGGTAGATCAAAAAGAGCTTTATGGTTCCCAAGACACAACTTTAATCATGGCTTGTAACACCGGTGATATAAGAATAGTTCGAAGTATACTGAGAGGTAGGCCAAATATCGACGCATACAATTTATGGCACCAAACTGCTCTTTATTTAGCCGCTGCAAGAGGAATGAAAGACATAGTCACAGAGCTCCTGAGGTGCAATCCCAACCCGGTGATAAATCAAGAAGCTCTATCGTACGCCATACAAGGCTGCTCGGCGAACCATCAGGAAATCGTCAATATATTATTGGACCACGGCTATTCCTTGGATTCTCTCAATTTGAACGACCACTTCGAAAACTCGCGACTGATCCGAACCGTTCGAGACGCGACCAAAAACGGCTACAGCAACGTCCTGCGCTGGCTGCTGCTCAGAGCCGTGCACCCGGACATGCACCTGTACGACCAGTCGGGCAACAAGCTGGTGCACTACGCAGTGCCGCATCCGGACTGCATGAGGTTGCTGATCGAGTACGGTGCCGACGTGCGAGCGCTCAACAACGACGGCCAGAGCCCCATGATACTGGCCGTGTACCAGTGCGCCGCCGAGACGGTGGAGCTGCTGTGCGACGCAGGCGGAGTCGACGTGTCCCACGACACCGACCTGTTCTTCTGCGTCATCAGGAAGAATCACCCGAGGATGTTCGAGACGGTGGCGAGGCGCTACCGGCGCAACCTCCTCTACAGGGACGAGTACAGCACCACGGCTCTGCACCTGGCAGCCTGGATCGGCAACGAGCACTTCGTGCGCACCATCCTCGACATGATCGACGCTCAAAGTGAGCACGAACGCGAGGTCGAGATGGCCGCGGAACCACTGCACCCGGAGCTCGAGTACATAACGCCTCTGCACTGCGCTGCCTTCACCGATCGTCCGACAATCGTGCGTATGCTCATGGATCGCGGCCACAGCGCCGACGTCTCGGACGGCACTCACAACGCGTTGCATCTGGCCTGCCTCTACGGCAGGATCGAGGTCGTGCACGCGATACTGGACTACGAGTTCGACGTGACGGCCCGCGACGCCGAGGATCGTACCCTCTTCGATCTCGGACTCGTCGGCGAAAAAACCAGCCTGCCCTATCCGTATCGTTATCAGCTCTTCGCCAAGGAGCACATGCTGTGCATCCCCGCGAGAATAGAGAGATGCAGCGCGAACTTCCAATGCACGGTTTACGAGCTGCTGGTGAGGCACCTGGTGATACTGCAGTATCGCCATCCTGAACTCGAGGAGCATCAGTTTTACGGCGCCGACCGCAACATGTTCGTGGATTGCTACGAGCAGAGCGTCGAGCAGCTCTGCGAGATGCAGAGCGTGCGCGTGCACGATCGCAGCCTGCAGGATCTCGTCGTGGCGCGTCGCGGCACGCTCATGAGATACTGCCTGAATCCTGCGCTGAGGCAGGCCTACCGCGAGCTGATCGCCCGCGACGGATTGGCCACGTTCAACGGTTACGACTGCATAACGATCAAGAAGATGGACATCGCCTTGCGAAGAGCGGAGCTCTACATGAGGGGTAGACTGTTGTTGCACGAGATCTTTCCGGCGGATGTTCCGGCCGAAATCGTGGGTCACCTCACGTCGTATTTCAAAGATCACGAATTACAAGCTCTTATCGAGAGAGACGAAGCCGAACGGCTACGATAATTTGTTCGTTTTATTCGCTCGACCCTGAACAATTGCAGTATTATATCGAGATTAGATTTAATTACGAGTGAGATTTGAAAATATTAAAATCGTCCTTAGTATCGAATTGTGATAAATTGAAGAAATTCAAATGTTTCAGCCATTTATGATGAGCATGACTAATTAAAGTGAGCGAATTACTTGCAATTTCTTTTAATCAAATCAAATTGTAAATAGAAAACAAGAGTCATATAAAAATATGTTTTGTAAAATTTAAATAATTCTTATATAATTAGAGAGAAATATATTATATTTACATGTAAATTTATGTACTTTTATGTACGTATTGTATTACAAGAATCGTCATTGACTTTCTTGGAATAATTGTTCAAGATAAAAACAATGCTGTGAATATTTGAAAAACTGGATCTTGTCAAATGTTGTTTTACATGCAATAACTGTATTTAATGAGCTGTGAAAATGTATACTTATTTTTAATGAAATTTAAACTTTTTCTCAAAGTTGAAAATGATCATTTGTACATAAATCTGCGAATGCATATTTGCAGACCCATGATAGAAGAAAAATATTGTGAATGAAATAAATGACTATTTTACTATAATAATCAGTCCTTTATTATTTCTGTATTTAAATTAAGCCAAACATTCACAAAATTGTAATGGAACTTTTTATTTTAATCTGTACTTATTTTTGCTTATCAAGTAATTGATGAAAATTAACCATAGTATTGTTATTAGCTCTTTTTCTTATCTGAATCATCATTTGTTATTGAAATGTCTTGTTCAAATGTACCAGAATCAATACGATTCTTATCTACCGGATACAACCTATGAAAAAATTTTTTTTTGAAAATTAATTTTGCCAAAAAAATATTCATGTCAAGGAAAAAATAATACTAACCAACGCTGGTACAGATATATAAGGAACACTGCATCATCTCTAAAACAAGCTACTCGATGCGCAGTAGGCATTGTTATAATAAATGCAAAAATATCATCAATGAATGTATTGAATGCTTTGTACATAAATGATCTCCATGGAAGATGTGCAACAGATTTCAATTTATAATTAACAAATAATTGTGGAAGCATAAAAAGAAATCCAAAAGCATAGACTCCATTAACAAGGGATTTCACACACCAAGAGTACCAGCTGTAAAATTGATATCGATTATTTCAATACATGCTTTAGTCTTATCTTTAGATAACTAGAACGCTAGATTGTTATTTCATACCTTCTGTGGGGTACATAAAGAAGAGAATATACAGCACCAAAAATTAAAATTGGATATAATAAATAGCTAAGATATTTCATACTCTCAGCATCAAATTGTCTAGTTTTGGCTTCTGCTGTAGAACACTTGGATAAATTAAACTTTATTTTAGGGAATTGTGAATTCCAAATTATATCAGCCCGTAAAATTTTCTTAGTTTTCCATAGCTTAAAATAATATGACACATTAAAAATTGAAAAGTATTTTCTATTAAAAATCATAATCAATTGATATACTTCTATCAAAGCTCCAATTCCAGAAGGTACTAGTACGAGTAAAGAAGATCCTTCATCTAGTAGATAAAAAAATATCACAGATTGACTAAAACTTCGCCACAGTACAGTTTGAGTACTCAGCCCTTCGAGATTATTTCTATTTTTCCAAAAGTTGATATCATTTTTTATAGCAAGAAAATCGAATAATATCTAGAAAAAATAAAATGCTGTTAAATAGAATTTTTCTTTAATAAAAAAATTAAAATTGCACTAACATGAATTGCGGATATAAAAACAGTTCCAGCTAGAAGATATAAGTTAGTGTCTGCAAATATGCCTTTAACTTCATCTATATCTTTATCAGTGAAACCCAATTCTTTAAAACCTTGCATAGCTGCTTCAATATGTAAAATCAATCTTAGTTTACCAAGAGAAATAGGTGAGTGTGATACTGTGAGATTGGCACTGCGTGTCTTTGCAGTTATCTTAATTAAATCTCTGTATCGAGTATACAAAAAATTGTAGTTTATAATAGGTAAAAATTTATTTTCTGGAGTCACTCTGTAAAAAGAAAATTTTCGATTACATTTTAAAAAATTTTTTTCACTCTTAAGAAAATTATATAAAAATTCATACCTCAAATTGTTTAATAGTTCCATAGGTGCATTATTTAATGGTAACTCAATATCATCAGTCATTACTGTAAAAGTAACTTTACTCCTTAAATGCAATACTGGTTTGTGAACATATTTTTGTTTTTTAAGAGCATTATCAGTCTCCTCGCCCAGCAAATTAAATGTTTCAGCTTTGGGTATAGCATAATCAGTTAATTTTATGAGTGTGTATATGGATCGAAAATCCTAAAAAAAAATAATAAAAGAGTTTTCTTTTATTACAATAAAGAAACCAATATGATGAAACAAATCAAACCTCTTTAAAATCCATGAATTGCCCTCCTTTGATGAATGATTGCGGAGATACTATTACATGCAAGTATAAAGTACCATTGTTGCGAGTCTTAGCAGGAATGTCGATTACTAATGGACTGTATATAAGAAAAAATTACTGTTAATTAATACTGTATTAAAAAAGAAAAAATTAAATGTATTTTAAGTAAGAGATCTTGAGCTCAAACTTACATATCATGTTCATGCATATAATCAAAATTCATATCCGTATGAATTTTCGTAACTTCTGATCTCAAAGGTCTTCTCATTGTTGATACAAATAAATTCAATTGCAATTTGGGGCGGTCGCTCAAATACGATTTTATACATGTTTCTTTCGATGAACAGGGAAGCGAATTAAAAAGTAGAGATATTGTGTAAATTGCATATGCAACATATGCTATAAAAATCCCCGATAATAGGAAACTAATAGATGGAAAGCGCATTTTGAATTCGCTTTCTATTCGTAAAATCAGCAATACTTAAAAAGCGATAACAGACATTAAACTATTTCCTTTCTTGAACGTAAAAAAATATATCACAGAACATTGTAAAGTTAAGAAAAAAGAATTAATCTATCTTTGCATCAGTAAAAGGTCTCATGCACGGTGAACCGCAATTACTTCCTTCGACACTGTTGAAACAAGTATATTGAATACTTAAAAATATTTATGTCTTTTATGTGCATAGATAGATATGCTGGAAGGCCAAATTTGACATGTGTACACAATCACTTCGTGACACTTGTAATACTCGGCTCCGGCCTCCGGCTACTACGAATGTCAGAGTTGTTATTATTATTTTTGTTTAGGTTTTGTGCATCAAGTCGTATAACGCGTTGAGTGACGAGAAATTACTTTTGTCGAAAAATTTGCGCGGTCCATCGTTTATAATCAAAGGTATACCTTTGAAATTAAAATTTTTACGAGTCTTTTTTACGAGCGATTTTCAAAAAAATTTTTTCATCAGTTTCGTAAATGTATGTTTTTGTTGCTCTTCAGATACTTATGTGGTTTTCATCCTTAACTATGCAACTGTACTTCTCCAATGAAAGTAAAGTATAGGAATTTTATATATTAGTTAAAAAATTAATTTGAGTCCGTAATATCAATGTAAATTTATTTAATAGAATAAAATAAATCTTTTATCTATGAACATTTCAACAATTGACTTATTCCATGTACACAACAAAAATCAAATTATTGAAGTAACAGGTAACAGGACTGATGTATTTACAATTAAAAACTATTTCAATGTATAGTATCAAATGGGTTTTGATCATTTCACTTGATGAGTTCATTATATTGATTTTTATCATTCGTCCAAGGCCATTTCATACCCGATTGCTCAAGACCTTTTTGGAGTTCTGCTAAACTGTACATATCCAATTGAGTCATCTGTACATCATCAAGAGCAAGTTGTAAACATTTGAGACCATACTCATATTTTTTGGAGTCATCTAATGAATAAAATTTACAAATTACTGTAATTTTTTAAACGTTAATATCATAACTATTATATAATACTTACTTGACTTTAAACAAAACCTTATGAGTTTATTATAGTGAGTAGGTTTATCATGTGCTGAAGATTCATTTAAAAGTTCAGCAAGTTTGACAACATCTTTAATACTCTTTGTTTTAAGTAAATATCTTAACACATTCAGCCAAAAAGGAATTGTTGCATTTTTTACATACTTTATCCAAAGCTTTTTGGCTTTGGGATCATTTTGTAAGAAGTAGTATCCCCACAAGCAATGTATAGGACCACTTCTATTTTTCTTTAGAAATTTATAAGCCAACGTTTCAACTGTAAATTAAAAATTTAACCTTCTTAGAAAAAGTATTAAAAATATAACTAAATAATTTTGAATAAAAAGTTACATTGTTGGCAAAGATCTGAATTTTCAAATAAACTGCGAATAGTCGTGTTATAATCCATACTAGAAAATGTTGATTTTGGAAGATCTTGATCGAGCATACTTTCCAAATCCTTCAAGTATAAATTATAAGAACCACATTTCACATGTGCTTGGTTCAAATAATAGCTATAATTGAGTTTCTTTTTCATGTCCTAAATAAATAAAAACGAGTAATTTAACAACATAGTACAAACTTATCCTAAACTCATAATATCATAAAAAAAACATCAGTCACTTACAGCACTAATATAATTTCCTAAGCTTTGAATGCTAGTGGGATCCTTACAGCTTAGCATTTTTTTCAGAATATTATAAACTGCTTCCAATGTTAAATCTTCGTTATAATTCTCTTTCAAATCTTTATACAAATCTATAATTGTCAAAAAGTTCTCTTTTCGCGCAAATTCTTCACATAATGTAGAATAACAGTAAATTCGATGTTCTCCTGGAATACTTGAAATTAAAATATAAAAATTAATTATACTTATTTCAAAGGATTACTGTAATTTTCATTTACCTTTCTAGATATTTTATTGCTTCATGAGGCTGAGAATGTAACAAGCTATAAAAGCGATTTAAAGGTTCACTGTTTCCAATGTGTTTTTGTTTCATTGCTAAATTGAGATATTCATTAAATCTAGTCGAATACATTACATCACCTTCTTGCATTCTTGTCCATAAATCGTAACTTTTCTTCCAATCATTTTTGGAGCCTACGTTGCATAATTACATTTTTAATTAAATGATTAAAATTAAATTAAATTTGAATGCTGTTTAAAACTTTAACTCACAATAACTTTTCACCAATATTAAACATAAATTTTCGACGTCATACTTTAAAGTATTCAGAACATTGAATAATTTTTCCAAACTTTCAATATCTCCTTGTCTATAAAATTTTTCAGCAAACTGAAGAACAACTTCTTCGTAAATGTTCGGACATTTTTCCTGTACATTAAACCAATATGTGTAATTATATAATTTTTTTTAAACAATTTTTTCAAAAAAATTACCTGTATTATGTTCTTGCATTCATCTAAATCGTTATTTTTTAAATAAGCAATAGCCATATAAAATGAAGTCCTCGTTTTTCCGAAAGTAGCGTTACACATTTGTTCTAATTTACTTATTAAATTTTCGTTTTTTTCAGTAATAAGTTTTTGCATTAGACCAACAAGATTAGGAATTAACTTATAAGTTTTATTTATTTGTTCAAATTTCTCAAACGCAGCTGGCCCATCATCTCTTCATGGAAAATAATTTTAAGATGAAAAAATGTAATCATGCATTAGTTTTATGAGTATAATTACCGAGACAGATGTAATTCTATGAATGGATTAAGAATTGAATTTGTCAACTTTGTAATGTGAAGATGTTTTTTCATCAAGTTTAAAAATTCTTCCATTAATTCCTCATCATTGTACTTCAAGGTAGCTTCCAATAATTTAACGCATCCACTTTCTATTGAGTATGCAGGGGTTCTAGAAAACATGATGCATTTTTTTGCATCTAAAGGAAATGGTCAATCATAGTAAGAATTTATAATCACGACTAACTTAGCTTACCTTCAATACTTCCAGCTTCTACTAATTGTGTTGCTAATTTTATTACCAGGCTTGGATTAAATTTGAAGTTTGGAAAATGTAACAATGACTCTTCAAAATAATATTTAGCCTTTTCCAAATTATGTAGACTAGTGTACATATTTATTACGTACTGATATTCATATCCATTAAAACGATATTCCGATACCTTCAAATCCTAATGAAATAAAAATAAACAAGTTTTGCATTATAAAAAATATATTAATTAAATAAAAATACTTACTTCTAAGTATTCCAATGCTTTTGATTCATTCAATGTACGGCTATAATACAGCAATAATTTTCTTTTCATTTCTGTCGCTGATTTCGAATTTGTTATAGAATTAACCTTCATTAAATGTTCTATTTTTCTTATGTCCTGAAATTTTTATTTCATTTTAATTAGTGCATGTAAAAAAGTATATTTTGATTCCTTATAAATGAAAAACAAAATTTTACCGTAATTTTTTTGTAAGAAATAGACCAGGCTCTTTCGAGATTCCTTATATCTATAGGTTTTGGGATTAATTCTCCTGATCCTAGTACTTCTAAAAGTTGTAATACTTCTGGAGTGGCTGAATCACTTAATTTCGCTTTTATAGATTCTGCAGTTTTAGAAGATAAACTTAAGCCTTTGTCAACTAGATTTCTAAATAACTGGATATTATTGGTAATATTTATATATAATTTTAATTTTCGAATTAGTTTTAAGAAAAAAATGAAATAAAATTTATAATTACCACAATAATAACATAACGATTGGAAGTTCCAAAGTATTCTACAGCTTCTTGAATACAAGAATCAAGATAGTGTTGAATCATATATTGTCTCTCGCTATCAGAAATCAATTGACTATCTGATTTTTTCATGCACAAATAATGAAGTATCCACACAAAGGATGGGGCATCTTCTGTGTTTTTGAAAGATTTGAGTAAGTTATGTTTTACCATACTGATTCTGTATGAACTAGAATGATTGCTCACTAAAATTAAATACCTTTATTAAGTTTTCTTGCCATATAAATGTATTTTATAGAGTACAAAAATTAATATTATATACTAACTGAATTGCACTGCTTCTTGAATTTTATCATTGTACAGTAAATGGGATAGTATTGCATTTGAGGCTGTATTTTCATTGACTTGACAGTCAACGAAGAAAGATAATAAATTTTCAGAAGTACCATTTATATGAGGTAAAACATAATTTCTTAATGTAGTAATACCAGGATTTATTTGAAATTCAAAAATCATCTTTTGTAAAACATTCTTTATACCTGAAAATTAAAAATAAATCTAAATTTAATATAAATTGATTTGTAAGTATCAAAATAATTTGAAAAATGTTACCAGTTTCATCTTTAGCTGCACCATAAGCATCAAATATTGAATAAAAATAAGATTCTCTAACAAAACCACCTAATGACTTCCAAGCTTTCATAAGTGCTATTGTTGAATCAAACATTTCACGAGCAAATGTTTTTTGTATAGCCATCATAAAAGCTTTTGGATTATATCCTTCATTTGTCAATCTTTCTACATACTCAATACACTTTTCAATTGGCTGAAAAAATTTTTATTTCAAAATAAAAAAAAAGATTTAAAATGTCAATTGTATAAAATATCAATTATCATACCACTTTAAATTGTATAAGCATTTGGATAAAATAATTTCCAGATAAAGAGTAAAAATCCTTTGTTTGAGTTTGAGGAAGAGTTTGAAATATTTTATACGCTTCATCAATATATTCTTTTCTAATGAGTTTATAAATAATTCTATTGACCTCTTTAACATAATCTGATCCTTTGTTGAGTTGTGCTAGAATCTGCAAATGTAAAAATTATAATATTGTCCTTTCTTGAATAAAAACTTCAACAATCATATTACATACTTCATCAATAAATTCTATGTGTCCATTTGAAGTTAAATGATAAATTACTTCTAAAAGAACTTTGTTGGGAACCCATAAATTTTTTTCTTCGCATTGAGAGAGAATACTTCTCACATTATTTATATCTCCTGTGCGTGCATAACAGTTTAATAAAGTAGCATATGTTGTGATTGTCGGAGTAATATTAGATGAAATCATATTATCCATAATTTTCATTGCAGATTCCATATCGCTGTGAATAATAAAATCTAAAGTATTTTTAAACTTGATAAATTTTGCATTAAAAACAACTGCTTACTTGTTCATAGCGTGTCCATATATCAACGGGCTCAATATACTTTCTGTTATAGGAACATTGTTTCTTTTCACAAAGTCAATTATTTGATTTGCTTCTTTAACTTGTCCGTGGTTGCAAAATTGTGTAATCAATCTCTGAAATGTCACTCTATTTGGTAGGGTGTCAGCTTGTATCATATTTTCCAAAAAATCCAAAGGTGAAAATTCATGATCATTTTCAAGATATAATGTTAATAAAGCATTATAATGAGATACATCTATTGGAGTGCCTGATGAAAGGAAAATTTTATGATTTCTTGTTTTTATATATAAAAGAGTTTCAATAAAAAGTTACCTAATTTATGTAATGTAGACCATATTTCTTCAGCCAGCTGTATTTTGGCTTCTGGAGATTTGTCATCGATCAATTCAGAGCAACATTGTAACAAAAACAAGCCTTGTAGACTAGATAGATTTTCTGAAAGTTATAAATGATGTAATAAATTGTATCAACAGTAAAAATATATCGAGTCAATTTAGTTGTTGAAGTACCACTCTCTTTGGAGTCCTGTAAAATGTCCTGAACGCTCAATTTTTTGATCCTTCCATATTTTTTTAATTCATAATTTAGGTCTTTAAATTTTTTGTCTATCTCGCCATGAACCTCCACAGTTGCATTTTGAGAATTAGTTAGTCTCTGTCCCGCGTACATGTATCTAGATGCACTGTAAATAACGATGTATCGATTGTTTTTTCAAAATAAATTCACATAAAATGTAGAAAAACGTAATTTTCCATACTGGTTCGTGAAGTATCCAACTTTGGATCGTAGCAATACGTTGACCGTCGATGTGCTGTAAACAATTCTCGTTGCGATTCCCGAATTTGAAAATTGATTGGCACGACAGATGCATCCTAACGCACGCAGCAACGTAGACATTTTACATGGGCACTCTCAGCAGTAACGAATGACAATCATCATTTTTCTCCAAAAACGTTCTATTTACAAGCTAACCGCGTTAATAAACAATCGGGCGACATAACCTGGCCGAAACTGGCCTAGAGAATAGATATGTGTCAAAACTACGTCGAGTGTCGGCTGCTAGAAATACGTCGTGAGGTCACGCCGCGCACCCCCGCAACTTTTCACCGATGTCAAATTTAACATGTGTCACACTCGCATTATTCGCATTCGATCACGTTGGTTCGGTAATCATCTCACGACGAGTGATGTCATACATTACGAAGCATCGCAAGATTTTCCGCGCGTGGTATAAAGTATATATTTCTAAGCGCTAAAATCGTACTTGCGAACTGTGCGTTTCGCGTGCAGCTGCTCACCTGTGGGCTGCTCGCATCATCGTGTTGCATAATGTCGTAACACATTAGCGCGCGGCACGCTTATTATATACATTCGAAGTTCAATTACTGACGATTTTTGTGATGATTCGTCGAACTCGAGATGAAGTTTCTTGCTTGTATCGAAAGATACGCATAGTTGCCGGGATTGCGTAAACAAAGTTTAATGAAACTACCAAACGCCTGGAGCCTCGTTAGAAAATCGCATAGAAAAAAGTCGCGAAAGAAGTTAGATATCGTCAAAGGGGGTTCATCTGTGTTCTACACTCGAGTGCAAGCGCAAATACAACAACAACAATGACGACGACGACGAAGCGAGGTCGTCGAACAGTCGTGCGAGTGCTTGAGCCGATTTGAAAAAAGTAGACACGCGCGAAGTAGTATTTTAGTGCGCGCGCGGGAACATCGAATTACGATTAAGCACCTATGTGTATAGCTTTATGTATATATAGCTGTGTGTTAGTGTCAAGTGTGATTCGCGCCTTCGTTGCATCATCGAGGCTTTGCGCAATCGAAATTTGCAGAATCGTCGCGTGCGAATAATATTTAACGATATAATACGGTACGTGTACGCTGGGGTGACAACAAATTTTATTACGAGGTGTATAAATTTATTCGCACACGCTGCGCGCGTGAATTACGGCGATCATCCATGCGAGCCAAGAGGATTTGAAAATATTGCGGTCGTTCGAACGTCGGCGGTTGAAAAACGTCCGATGTAACGTACCGATTTTCGGAGTCGCTCGCTCGTTCGCGCGCGAAAATCGCGACGCGAGCAGACGACATCGCGTGCAGCGTGCTGCAGGCATATTGTGCAGTGCTGCAGGACTCAATGGCGATCTGTTGACCGTTGACGCAATTGTGCGCGCTTATATTGGATCGCCACTGCGATGGTGAACGCCGACGTTTAATCCGTGTGTTCGACGATGGAGATGGACAGATCTCGCACACGAGTGAAAGCACAGGAGGTGCACTGCTCGAGAGAGCAACAAGCAACTATGTGCATCGCACTCTAGCCGCGAAGCTCGAGAGACGAGAGAGTATATAGGGTAAGTTAAAGCTTCAAGTCTGTATTACATGTATAGCGGTTCGTATAGTTGGAAGAGCGCATACGAGTCTCGAACGCGAAGCTCGACGGTTGAACATCGCTCGCAACGTGCATATACATGTATAATAAAACTTTTGCTCCGTATATGTGTGTGTGTGTTTCGGTCGTGCGGGTGGGAGGTAGTAGGTATATAATACACACACACAGACAAGATATCTTCGCGCGCGCTCTTGGGGCTTAGAACGAGCACGAGCTGCCTATATATCATACGTATGCATGCATGCATGTATGTATCGTCGTCGTCGATGCTCGTGCTCCGTGTTTTAGATATATACAACTGCATACACGAGCTGCTGCTGCTGCTGCTCGTGGTTGTCGTTATATAGCGTACATCGCTCGTCGTCGTCGACGGACATACGGCCGAGAGCCGAGCCGAACCGAACCGAACGGAGTGGAGTGGAGTCGAGCGACTCCGCGCGCGCTGCGACTATAGGTAGATATATAGAGACGGGTTTTATTAAAATGCGCTTCAGTCCGTCGCAATCGCTGGTGCCCCGAGCGCGATTACGGCCGCGCTGCCGACCAGCAAGAGCAGCGGTAGCTTTTTTTGTTGCCGTTGTCGTTATTATTACTGTTATTAGAGTGTGCGCTGTGCAGCGATCGAGCAGAGTCGGTGGTGCAGTGCTATACTGTCGCGATGTTTTGGCAGTAAACGCGTGTTCCGTGTGATATAACGAAAAAAAAGACTCAGAAACTCGAGAGTCGACTGATCAATTTTACGGAGTACGACGATTCCGAATCGTTAATTAAAAAAAAAAACACAAGTATATTAAGTATATACAAGTGCGCGATCGCAGCCGAAGTTCGCAGCTTGCAGCAGTAGTGCTGCACACAAGCTTACATTATATAGGCTGTTGCACCGTTTGTTTGTTTGTGTGTGTGTTGTGTATGTGTATGTGTGCGAGGGCTACAAATATAACACGACGTGCAGGTGAGCATATGTATTAAAAAGCACAACACAATTTGCCGCTCGTACGCGGGGGTTCGATATACAAGTGTATTCGATTCGGCACTGCGTTATACCGTATAGGCACCAGCTGTCGTCGTCGACTATAATATATCTATACAATTGTCGCGAACGCTCGGAAAAGTTTATGGACTCGTCGTCTGCATTATTGTCATTTTTCTTTTATTTTTTCGCAATCGACCTCGACTTGCTTTTTTTTTCTTTTTTAACTTTTGCTGCGTGTGCACGACGACGACACGCACCACCGCTGCTGCTGCTGCTGTGTGCAGCAGTGCAACATAACATGCAGCACGAGAGCTGCTGCTGCTGCTGCTGCTTATACGCCATTCGTGCATCGGTTATAGTGCACTACTACTAGGCTCGATTCGTCTCTGCCAGAGCATATAATAAATATTCCTATAAATCGCGCGACTATATAGCGCACATACGTATCTAGACTTGCGCGCTTCGTTGCGAGCGTGTGTCTGTGTGTGTGTGTGTGTGGGCAAGCTCTGCGATCGTCGAGTATGTTATGGCTCTGCGCGATTTCGATCGGACGAACTTCGATGTTTTTCTCATCCATCGACGTTTGACAATCGATCTGTATATTAACCAAATACGCGTATTCTAATTCTCTCGTTATTTCATTTATTCGACAACCTCGCTTATTTCTTCTTCGTCGTCGTCGTATTTTTTTTTTTATCACCGAATATATATGCGAACGAACACGCAGAGAGCCGAGCGAGTACGAGAAAGAGACGGGCATAATATAGAGTTTAATGCGAGCGCGACGTAGTCGACGAGGCTGATAAGAGCTGCTATTACGAATTACCATTGCTGCGACGTGGTGGTGGTGGTGCTAAAGAGGGGGACGCGCACACACAGTATATAACGCGCGTATTATCAGAGAGTCGGAGGCAAGCATGAACAGCAGCGACTATAATGGCGAAGTAGCACCACAGTAGCAATATTATCATTCGACTTTAGAATTTGAACATGCGTGGTTATAACGAGTTACCGATTTTCGGTACAGATCGGTATGTATAGCAAAAAGCCTACGTACCTATGGAATGGAGCAGCTGCTGTGCTCGCTCAACGGCCAAAGCAAAGCTCGCAAGCTCGCAAGCTCTCGTTCGTATCATTTCGTATTGCTGGCTTATTTAGACATGGAATAGCGCGCGCTTTCCTTCTCTCTACCGGTGATACGAGTTGTGTCGCGCGCGTTTCATCGATGCCTGCTGTATACACGTATACCGGCAGACGAGACTTGGTATCTTTTGTTTATGAAAATCGCTTCTCACTGTAATACGTATCGTGCGTGTACATAATGTGGTATACTCTGCGAATATTTGACGCAATATGTATATGTACGGGTGTATGTATATGTGTACATCGAGACAGTCCGGCAGCTAGCTATAGGTAGCTACTGTTGTTGCTGCTGCCGCTAAATTCCCCCACGACGTATCTCTCTCTCTCTCTCTCTTTCCAATCGTTGAGCTTAAAGACGCGCTTAACTATATAACACATACGTAAATATGTTGATTAGCCAAGCTAACGCTGCTGCTTCTTCTGCTTCTGCCTAGACTTATTTACATTTTCGAATGTACGATTTTATTGTATACCAGCTAAATTTTACAATTAAGCAGCGTGAACGAATACCTTGATTCGATCCGGCCTTAAGATAATATACCGCGAGGAGATCGACGATACGCGCGTATCGGTATATAGCAATATGTACATCGTCGTTCTCTCGCATATACATAATAATATTCAACGAGTGCCTATAATGTACTCTCGAGCTATATACAAGCGCGCATAGGTATAGATAATCGATATGTGCTATATACATTATACCATACACAAATGCTAGTCTCTGCTCTGTACATGTACATACACGGTTAAATACGCTCGCGAAGCAACACGTGCAGGAGCACATAAGAAATGCGTATGTAGAGCTTATATTTTCGCTCTCTCTCTCTCTCGCCGCGCAAGAGAGCTTAGCTCTGTTTTTTCCCCAACGCATACCCCTTGCATACAGCATAAGTATATCTATTTTATATAAGCGCGAGAGGTGTACGCGCACAGTGCACGAGGCAGACGTGTATACACACATGCAGGCAGGCAGGCCGAGACCGAGGAACAACGTATATCCAACAACGTACTTCGCGCGATCGGTGCCTATATATACGACACGAGCAGTTTCAGTTATTTGTAAGGAAAAGAAAACAACAGGAGACGAGATGATAAAAAAAAGTCAGCCAGATCGTGAAGCGCGCATATATACATTCTGTATATATGCGCGTGGCCTTGGTGCGAGTGTACAGCAGTGTGTACACAGGTATAGATGCGCGACTCGCTCGATTCGATGTTTCGGTAATAGGAAGATAATGACCTGGGTCGCGCCAAACCGACACGGAGCAGCTTTTACATATATATGTATGTATACATTTCAACGAGCCCGCTGCTGCTTCGCTGTATCTGCATACCGACTGATTATACGCGCGTCGATGAGACGAGAAAACGTCTCTTGCTTGAATTTCGCTCTCGCTAACTCGCGTGCGATATAATACGAGCGAGAGAGAAAGAGAGAAGTACACCTGTGAATGCTACATCAATTCGCGCTTGAAAAACCATATCGCGCGCGTGTATACTTATAGTTGAATTATAAATGCACACACGTGCGTACACGCGTACGTAAGCCACGCTGGCGAATCCTTGCACGAAGAGATAAAAAGAGAGTAGATGCGCTGCGTACTGCACAAGAGATGAATAATATGAGATGAATTCGAGCGGAAGATAGACGAATTAATGGGAAATTCGGAACGCGAACTACTGCGATAATATATTATAACTACGGCAATGGTATATTTTAT